AGACATGATGTGAACGCGTGAGGAAGTTATGATGTGAACATTTGGGGAAGATATGATGTGAGGATTTGAAGACGATATGTGAACATTTGAGGAAGACATGGTGTGAACACGTGAGGAAGTTATAATGTGAAAATTTTAGGAAGATATGTGAGAATTTGAAGAAGATATGATGTGAACATATGATGCAGATATGGTGTGAACATGAAAATATTAAAATAAATAAATATTACATATTGTGTACTTACAAGTTTTTGAAGAACAGGACAACCTATTGCCAAATGAGCAAGTGTTGAATCTGTAATCTACAAGATTAACATCAAATCAGGCAAGTTAACATTTTATGTCAAGTACATATTTGTAATGTTTGCAGTATTCGGTATTTTCAATTGACAACTGATTATATATTTGGAAAACTTACTAAAACACATTCTTCAAGGTCCATGCGTTCTAGTCGGTGACAATTCTAAAAAAAAAAGAAAAAGAATGCAAAGTCAATTCACAATGAATATGAAATACCTTGGGTAATGTCTGGTGATGCGACTTACCCTGGGTAATGCCTGGTGATATGACTTACGCAGGGTAATGCCTGGCGATGCGACTTACCCTGGGTAATGTCTCGTGATATGATTTACGCAGGGTAATGTATGGTGATATGACGTACCCTGAGTAATGTATGGTGATATGACTTACCCTAGGTAATGTCTGGTGATATGACTTACCCAGAGTAATGTCTGGTGATATGATTTACGCAGGGTAATGTATGGTTATATGACGTACCCTGGGTAATGTATGGTGATATGACTTACCCTAGGTAATGTCTGGTGATATGACTCACCCTGGGTAATGCCTGGTGATATGACTTACCCAGAGTAATGTCTGGTGATATGACTTACCCTGGGTAATGTCTGGTGATATGACTTAACCAGAGTAATGTCTGGTGATATGACTTACCCTCGGTAATGTATGGTAATATGACTTACCATGGGCAATGTTTAGTCTTATAATTTACCCAGAGTAATGTATGGTGATATGACGTACCCTGAGTAATGTATGGTGATATGACTTACCCTGGGTAATGTCTGGTGATATAACTTACCCTGGGTAATGTCAGGTGTTACGACTTACCCTAGGCAATGTCAGGTGTTACGACTTACCCTAGGCAATGTTTGGTGTTACAATTTACCTAGAGTAATGTATGGTGATATGACGTACCCTGGGTAATGTATGGTGATATGACTTACCCAGAGTAATGTCTGGTGATATGACTTAACCAGAGTAATGTCTGGTGATATGACTTACCCTGGGTAATGTATGGTGATATGACTTATCCTAGGTAATGTATGGTGATATGACTTACCCTAGGTAATATATGGTGATATGACTTACCCTGGGTAATGTCGGGTGATATGACTTACCCTGGGTAATGTCTGGTGATATGACTTACCCTGGGTAATGTCTGGTGATATGACTTACCCAGAGTAATGTCTGGTGATATGACTTACCCAGAGTAATGTCTGGTGATATGACTTACCCTGGGTAATGTCAGGTGTTACGACTTACCCTAGGCAATGTTTGGTGTTACGATTTACCCAGAGTAATGTCTGGTGATATGCCTTATCCTGGGTAATGTCTGGTGATATGCCTTACCCTGGGTAATGTCTGGTGATACAATGTATGACTTACCCTAGGTAATGTCTGGTGTTACGACTTACCCTAGGCAATGTTTGGTGTTACGACTTACCCTGGCTAATGCCTGGAAACCATTGTCTGTAAATTGGGAACAACCAGCAACCTCTAGAGTTCTGAAAATATTATAAGATAAAAATGTCATATATATGAGAGATCTTACTGAATGACAATTCAATGTCTGTCATGAAATAATGATATATACCATGATACAATATGCCAAACTAACACACAGACACACACCACAATACAATAACATAACATGTATCATGACATAAACAAATGACATATCCAAAATTTATCAACATGACATATATCATAATACAACGACATATCCACACAAACAATAACAAAACATAACATGTATCATGACATAACCAAATGACATATCCCAAATATATCAACATGACATATACCATAATACAATATGACATATCCACACAAACAATACAACACAATAACAAAACATAACATGTATCATGACATAACCAAATGACATCCCAAATATATCAACATGACATATACCATAATACAATATGACATATCCACACAAACAATACAACACAATAACAAAACATAACATGTATCATGACATAACCAAATGACATATCCCAAATATATCAACATGGCATATACCATAATACAATGACATATCCACACAAATACAATAACAAAACATAACATGTATCATGACATAACCAAATAACATATCCCAAATATATCAACATGACATATCCCATAATACAATATGACATAACCACACAAACAATACAATAACAAAACATAACATGTATCATGACATAACCAAATGACATATCCCAAATATATCAACATGACATATCCCATAATACAATTTGACATAACCACACAAACAATACAATAACAAAACATAACATGTATCATGACATAACCAAATGACATATCCCAAATATAT